ATCCCCAAACATGAGTGTCAACTGGAACTGCAGTTTTCAGTTTTTGAGGTTGGTAGATTCCAAACACCAGCCAAGAGCAACATGATGTCTGAAGGTCCACTTGCCGCAAGGGGCTCTTGAGTAAAACACAGCCAGACTGTTCCCCCCCCCCCGCCCCCAGGAAGCCATTTAATATGTTCAAATCATCTCATCAGGCCATTTCCCACCCCCACCCCCCAGAAGCCATTTAATATGTTCAAATCGTCTCATCCTAGGGAAACTGGACTTCTGACCTGACATCAGCAGACTTTGTTGCAGACTGAGGCAGTTGTGAGATTTGGAACACTGCCAGTGTGTGATGCTGGAATGGTTCCTACTAGTAAGAAAAGTCATTTTGGTGCAGAAACAAAGCCCAATCTACCTCAGTAGATCTGAGGTAAATTTACAAACGTAAGGCAGTCCTGCCCCTGAAGAGAGCCAACAATGTGTCATTTGCTGTTTCTTGCTATGACCAAGAAACAGCCCTGCTGTGGTTTTTTGAATCTCGGTAAATATGTATAAAGAATGTAGAAGCTGCAGGATTTTACCTCTTGTGTCTTAATAATAATTCAAGGACCAGACTTCCACCACTTTTGGGAGACGCTGCTTTAAAGGGAAGGTTCTGTTCTGCTGTCTCCGTACCCTCTGTCTTCTCGAGATCACTTAGAGAATGTCAGACCCAACTGCCTTTGAAACACAAAACTGCTTTTCTTTTCATTTTCACATTTCATGTAATTTTATAGATAATACATTTCACTTGAATCAAGTGATTTTGTATTTATTTTGTTTTGTTTTTCTTGACTCATTGGGAAGCATCTGGGTGGTTTTATGTTTTGTTGTTTTTTTTTCCAGCATCGTATTCATAAACCTTGTTTGAGTATGATTTCTCTTTAAAGAATAACATTTGGGGACAGGGATAAGAAATCACACTTCTTATGTTTTTATTATATAAATTTACACATGCAAACAGGAAATTCCCTGATCATGCTTGGCTTGTTCTGAGACCATTTTCCATCACTGAATTCAGCTGCATTGCTTTATCAACTATTATTCTCATTAAAGCAAACACCAAACCTCATCATATCCTACATAAGCCTCCTGCTCTCAAAACAGACCCAAATAAAAGGGAAACCCCAGGTTCCTGTACTAAGAAACTGTTTAGAGCTCACAGTAAATGATTTGCTTGCCTTTGTTAATACCTTGCTCTAGTCTTTGGGCTGAGGAATGCTTTTCTTATACAACATGAAAATAGATTCTGACAATGTATAGCAGCATTCTCATTACAAGCCCAAGCAGAAAACAGCCAAGTATGTATCTTCATTTTGCAAGTTTTTGATTCTTAAAGGTGAACTGGGATATCTTGTGTTTCTGCCCCAGCTCTGGAGAGGGCAGATGTTGGGAGGGGCAGAGAAAGAAATGTGGTCCATATTCTCATCAGAAACTTCACTTGCAAGTCAGTACTGAGGCCTTGCTGCTCTTGCTGCTCTTTCTCTCCCAGCCGGAAATAAAGCTTTTTTTCCTTTACTTTATAAAAAAAAACGAAAGAAAAGAAAGAAAGAAGCCTCACCCTCACTTGAAGAGCATGCAAGCCTCTTTACCTTCTCCTGCCACACAACCTAAATGCTTTGGATCACATAATTCACCTTTTAGGTGCTACAATCTATTGCTAAATGAAAACAGTGTGAGGCTCCAAGGCAGCAATGAGCTGGGCTAAGACTGTTCTTCAGTCTTGAAACTAGACTATTGTTTTTACAGCTATGGAGAAAAATGAGCTCTTGCCTGACCCTGACATGGGGTTCCTGTCATTGTCGTTCTTGTTAAATTTTCCATAAAGGCAACAATATGGCCAGATAATAAGAGCAAATTATTATTATTATTATATTATTATTATTATTAGTTGTTTTTTTTTTTTAAGACCTAGTCTCACCAAGTAGCCCAGGTAATCTGAAACTTGCTATATTGCCTAAGCTGGCATCAAATCATGACCCTCCAGCCTCAGACTCCCAAGTGCTAAAATTACAGATGTGCCCTACCATTCCCCGCATGTATTATTCCTAAGAACTCAATCTACTAGTTCACCATTTGTAACATTAATTAACAAACTATCTTCTCATTGGCATTCAAGAAATTCAGCTTTCCAATGATTTATGTTCTCAGTGCCAATTTTTCTACTGACTCATCTCTGAATGCTGCAGCTCCTATCTTATTGCCCAAGTCTATCCAACTTGAACACTAAACTAGTTTACTCCATTTGCAATTTCCTGTCTACTCAGAAGTGTGTATAGTAGATGTCAGAAAGAAAGCCAACAATTACAAGGAGACTATTAACACAAATATGTGAGAATTTTTCAGTTAAAATGCAAATCTGTGTTTATACACTTTTTCCCACTTTTCTACAGAAAACACAATGGCACAAGAACAGGAGCAACCTCTGGGTGTACCAAGAGTCAGGAAGCCATGGAAACCTCCTTCTTTATATCACTTTCAGAATCCCTGAAATTTAGGTCCTGAAATATGTGCTGACTTTCTTATAGGCTAGGGATTAAGGTATTTGTTCATTTAAACGTGAAAAAAAAATGTTATCTCACGATGACAATAAAAAGCATGCACTCTAAATACACTCCACAATTTCAGAGTTTGAGCCAGGAGAGTCCTAAGTCTAGAGGAATAAGAACTGCAACAGAACTCTGCAGTGAGTCTCTTAACAAAGGCATATTGGTACCCAGCCTGTCCAAAGCTTCAGTCTGTTTTGGCTTAAGAGGCAAGAGTGGAGTGGTGCTACAACAGGCAAAGGTGAACAATGAATAAAGTAGCAGAAAGACACCTGTGCCCACTGTGTGTCCACTGCAGACTCCAGCATCTTCCTCGGCAGATGGATTCTAACAATGTCAGTTTTCCTGCATCACTTGTAAATTGCTTGCTTTATAACTCTGCCACAAACAATGGTGATGTTTGGTACAATGTTTCATTTCTTTTAATATATCAAGAAATAAATGTATAGAGTTTAATATCAACCTTTAAATTTCTATTCTCCAGGTCAGTTTAATTATCTTAGGTATATTTAAAATGTTCTAACTTGGAAGTAGAGAACAGCAAGGGAAAACTAAACTGCTTTAAGAAAGAAAATAAGTATTTGTTTTCCATTTACCAGTTAGCACTTTCCCATGAGAGTTGAAACAGTGAGGTAATGTTATACCTTCATGATTATGTTTGTTAGAAAGTTATTTTCTGGATTTGAGTGGCATGTGTGTTAGTATTTAGACGGCCAGCTTCTGGGTTGCCTAGCAACCTATGATGTCATCATGTGTCGCCTGCCAGGTAGTCACTTGGTTCAGTTGCTCCATAAAAGGACCAACCTGCCACTTTGTCTCTCTCTTGCCTTCTTGCTCTCTCTCTCTGTCAGGGCACTCTTTCCCCCTACCATGTCTCTCTCCTGCCCTCTCTCCATCTCTACCCAATAAATCTCATTGGATTTAAGATTGGTTGTGTGCATGATATTTTTATATGAATATGAATATTAACACTGCAGTCACTTAATTGCATCTGAAAGGGTTTACAATGTCACTAGAATTATCAAGAAAAACAACTTGAACTAATACATTTACCATGACAGAATATACTACTAATTTCATTCAACAGAGTAGGGTCAGAATATACCAATAAAAGTCTAAATTTCAATTGCAGGCATGGTAACTTCTGTAATTTACAGAGTGGAAATAACAAATGTATCAAATTTGCCTACAGACAGCCAAAGCCTTAGTTGATTTCCTTAATTAAGCTGAAGTGAAGGATAGAGTGGTTTTGCTAGAGGAAGCTGTATGCAGTTATTCACTAGATCAAGTGCAGCAGAAAGGCCACTGTGCAAGGGCCAGGCACTATTACAGTGGAGAACGTGTCTCTACAGGGGTGCAACACAGTCCTGAGGAGTCCATGAAAAAGGAACACAAAGAAACAGTAATTTGTTAGAGTGAGTAAGGAGAGGGGAGTGAAAGGGATGGGTAAGAACAAAGTGTAATGAGTGTGTATGAAAACACCATCATGAAACCCATTAATTTCCATGCTAGCTTAGAAGAATCAAAAAGAAAAAAAATGAGGGGAGGAAAGGGAAAGAGGAAAATATACATCTAGTAAGTTCCTAGAGATGGCATCTGGATGGAACTGAAGTAATCATGTCCAAAAACAAACAAACAAAAAAAAAAGCTAAACAGATTTTTGTAAGTTAAGATTTATAAAGAAATTTCTGGCTATATAAATTGTTTTTAGGAAGGAAGTTTGATATTTACTTTTCAGGAAGTTTTAACAATAAACTAGATGAGGTAACCTCATGGATTCCTTTAGTCCAAAAACTACACACTTATATATGTAAGAACTAGTTTTTTCTGTAAATATCCTTAGGGGAAAGGTTAGCATAAAAGTTAAGAGAAAAGATACAAAAAAGATTTAGAATAGGTTACATGGAACTATGAATTCAATACAGCCCATAAAATAATATCTAACATGATATATCACATGCTTTAGAATGTGCATTTTAAATTACTCATTTTAATGAATATTTGAATTAAATAGGGAAATAAATAATTCATTCTAGAACAGTAGGATGTAGAAGAAAAGGTAACAAAAACCAACTGGGTATTGTATCTTCACAAAAGTATCTTTAAATAGCCATATGGGTATTAAATATACATGTATATATGTGTGTATACACACACACAATGAAAGGAGGGATTGATTACATTTTTTAATATTTCTTTTTAGCTTTCATTTTCCACAAACTTATTCTGAAGAATGAAGAGGGAACATCTCAGTCAAAATGGCATGAATGAATTCTCTTGAGATCAGGAACTTAATTATTATCTTAAGTTATACAATATGGCCACTATCTGTATCTAAGTGAAAAGTCCTAATATTTGGTGAACTTGTAAAGAACAACTAATAGCATGTTCTCTTTTAAAGGAAGCAAAGCAACCAGTCACAGAATAACATCTACTAGAAAGAAATGGTCTTTAATATCATCTTTAACATTTAAAAAAAAAAAACAGAAGTGGCAATTCAATAAGGATCCTTCCATTGTTCCTTATACAGATTTATATGCTGTCTTGTATTTATCAGTTATATTTATAATCAGTAACTTTCTAATCACTGGGACTAGAAATTACAGTATTTACTGAGCTAAACTCTTTCACAAAATAAGGCACAAATACATGATCACAAGTAGTAAACACAATATAAATAATGAACCCAAAAACTAAAGGAGAAAATGTTCATGCAAAATTCTGTACAGAGGCTATGGATATATGATCCAATTCAGAGAAGCATAGAATGTCAGACTTGTGGCTGGACCATGTTACAGTAAGTTCATTACTTCTTACAGAAAGAACACAAGTGGTTTCTCAATTCTATTTTATACAATGTTACATAAATGCAGGAATTTTAAACACAGTATTCACATGTGCAACAATAACAACTTGATCATTAAAATTCAGGCAAAGGGCAATTAAGACATGGCAATATGTGGCACATTATAATCAGAAGATCATTCATCAAGCTTATATCTAGGAGTACTAAATTGATGGCACATTTAAATCTTATAGATCAAGTTCTCCATGGTTTTTATAGCCAAAGTGCATTAAAAAAAAAAAAACTGCTATAGTTAAACAGGTCACAAATATCAAAATATACGACTGTCATTTGCCTTCCACTTAGAGGCTAAACATCTTATGCAAATGCAAGAGTAAAAAAGTAGCCATAAAGACCTCAAAACTATATAAAATAATCATAAAGACTTTTTAAGAGGGATGGGAACATAAATTTGGCAGTTGCTATTTAATATTACAATAAGGTAACTATTAAACTAGTTAAATTCCACTTTAAGAGGTAGTTGAACAAAATGTTTATTTGTACACTGCACTGAGGTTTTTGTGTTTTGTTTCCTTCTTTTCTTTCCTCAGAAGGAGTAAGTCCTATATCAGCAGCTTTGCCTGCTGTGTATTACAATTCTGTACATAGTTTACTGTTCACAAACCCAGTACAACTTGATTTTAACTCACATTTCTGTGCCGGGGTTTGCAGCTTGCCAACACCTGATGCCAGTATATTTGGAACTCTGTATGTGCCAGCTCTAACCCACGGACAGCACACCACTTCTAGCAAACGTCTAAAATGTACAGCCGAAAAGAACTCAGAAGAGGGCTTTTTAATTGAACTACAAAAGCATCTTAAATTTTGTTTCCAATACACACTAGAGTGGTAATATTTACGAAGTAAAAACGGTTTGGCTTCCTTTGTGTCAGCAGTATAATCGCATGTGGGAGGGAAATTATTGGAACCTATGACATAGGATTAGTTGGGGAGAACAAGAAAACTACCTAAAAACATATGGTTTTGTTTGTTGCCACCCCCTATTTTTTGCAGAGTGGAGGTGAACAAAGGGACTGTGTTCAGTGTCTTCAATTGAAGGATGAAATGAACAAGCATTTTAACCCAAATGGTCATGACGTGGTGCTGTGAATACCTGCATTTTTCTAACATCCTTCACAGTATTTATATGCAAAACCAAAAAGTGTAGAATTAGGACTACTGGAAAGGATTCACAATGATAGAAAATGCTTGAATAGCTCAGTTTATAGTACCCAACTATTATTTTTAATATAGAGCCATTATATCACTTCATTCATATAAGCTCAAGGATAAATATTTATCCAAGTCCTGGAACTTAATCAGTGTCCTTAGTAATTACTGACAGCAGGGTTTAATTTTGCTTAATAATTAAAAAATACATGTCAGTCTCTTGTTTGTGTATGTTTTAAGTATGTCGTAAACATAAAGACTACAGCATAATTCTGACAGCAAGTGTGTTGTAAATTCTTTCTTGAAAATGAAATATGCGCTCTTATTTCTCTGCTATTATTATTAAATTACTGCAATGATTCAATGTGTAACTGTATACTTTTCTTCAGAGACAGTTAAAAACTAATATACAGCAAGCTCAATCTTCAGATGCTTTCCTAATTCGCAGCTTACAGGACTGTGGGAACTTAACGCTCAGTCCTATCACTTGGCAGACAAATGACCCTGAAGGGATCTAGCAGCCATGTTTCCATTTTTATCATAATTTAGGAGTTCCTAAGTATATTTTGGGGGAGCTACACCACTCTATTTTTTTTTAGCTGTTATGTAATTTCATAGCACTATTTTTGCAAAGTTAAAAGATTTCCCAGTTAACATGGACCCCTCATCAGAAACATGAAGTCAACTTTCAAACTTTCAAAGCATTCTTTCTTACTAGGTTAGAGAAATTATGAAGTAGAATTTTATTATTTTCTTACCATTTTATATTGTCTTCACAGATAGGACAATAGCAGTATCAGTTCCTAGCTTTAAAATGACTAAGCTGCAAGCACAATTACAGTGAAGCTGAGCTATGTTTACAAAGAATGAGCCAGATAAGGGACAGAAGATTCATTTAGAAAGCAAACTTCCTTAAGATGATGGAAGGACAAAGTAAGGCTATAGTGTGAGCTAATTGCAGAAGATTTTCTACCAGCCAAAAAACAAGACCAGGCCACCACACAGTTCTGTTACTCACCCTCCAGCTTAGGGTGAGAAGTTTCATATAATTTTTAAGGGGAACAGTATGTGAGTGTCTGAAATATGATAGAGAAAAACAAATTAACTCTACTTTTATAAATACAATCTCAAAGTACCATAAAGTAAACCCTTAATTTTATGTAAGAGTTCATCAACTCTACTTTAGAATTTAATTGATACTGCCCAAACAAAAACCATGCTTGAATTCATGATTAACACATGATTTTAGCATAGACTGCATTTATAATACTCAAGTAAGAACTGTATAACATAACAACATAACTGAGCTACAGAATTATATAGGAGAAAGTCAGAAAGTTACATTCCTGTGCATGACTCCACCAAGATAACACGTAACACAGTCACTGTTACTGTGCAACAGAAACCGCAACAAGTGATAACATCCATCCATACATTTTCACATAGAACTTGTGAGAAAGAAGCTAAAGAATTATATTCATCATTTGTGAATAATTAAATTATATTTAAAAAAATACATTGCTATTTTCTGTCCAAAGATTATTTACATTTCATTGGCTAATTCTGACCTTGGCATGAAAGTTTTTTTAGGGGTTAAATGGAAAAAAGTAATCAAAGATGAACCCAAGTCTCACAAAAATAGAAGAGTTTTACTTGATACTGGTAACATTCCAAAATATACGAATTCCAATTTGGCCTAGTATGCAACCAGAGTCCAAATCAAATTTATTAAAAGTCTAATGTTAGTGTGATACTACTCTGCAGTTGTGACAACCCGTTATCCTTGCAAATCATTGAAACATGCATCACAGACACGAACAGGCTTCTTTGAAGAAGGAGTTAAGGCGTTTTTGGCTGAACACTCTGCACAGAAGATATTTCCACACTGTCGGCAATGATGCTGGCAAGACAAAAGTTAAACAGTTTCAAGCACCAAACCTATAGCAAGAGCTTTATAAAACTAACAACTGTTACAACCACACCATGACGGTGGGATGTTATCTCAACATGTGAATTTATTCCCTATGTAATTTCACTCCTTACACTGATCCAGCATCATGGTAACATTTTAGATGGCCTTTGCCTTTATTTGAAAATGCTAAAGTGCTCCTATCAAATGAAGTACTATTCCTGCTCACCAAAAGCCTCAGGAACACTATCTTCACTTGGAATTTAAATGTAGCAGAATTACCTATTTCTTTAAGTCTCTCTACTTTTACATCTTTTAAAAGAACTCAAATATAACTGACACACACAAGTTAAATATCTACACAGTACTTCAGAAAACAACTGTCTCAGAGAATAGCTGGTAGAAAAAGTGATTGACTTTAAAACTAAAATTTAAGCACATATGATAACCAGAAACTCACATGTGTGGATTGATGCTTAAAACACCTGTCACCCAGAAATCCACAAATGTAGCTCCATAAAGAAACCACTCACCCGTCTCACTGTGACTGAAAAGCATTTTCCACAGGCCATACAGTTCTGCACTTCATTGTCTTCTGCCCACTTTCTGTTCAAGGCTTGCGTATGTTTGATCTGTTTTTAATAAGTTATGGTAAATTAGATGATATAACATTCTACAGAATGATTAATTATTTCTTATTTGTTGCCATAAATTTACAAAATTTTGATTTTATGCCATATGAAACAAAATGTTAAAAGTTAGAAATACTTTAGTCAATTTATACTTGCCAGAATATACCTTCATATATCTGAATGACAAAACAAAATTAAGTAGATTTTTATTCTTCAGAGGCACTGGCAATTATAAAGTTCTAGAAATTTCATGTTCATTACATTACAACAATCAATTTTTCCTCATGATTGTGACAGCATACCTAACTCACTTCTTTTTCTGTTCACTGTTGCTTTTGCTTTTCTTCCACATAAGACAAGGTCTTGATAACGTCATCCAGGCTGACTTCAACTTGAAGTGATCTCCCTGCCTCTTTCTTCCTAGTGCTAGATTTAAAAGTCAGAACCGCCATGCCTGGCTTAAGATCATTTGTTTATTTAAACCATGTATTTATTCCTCTGTATTCATGAATTTTAAAAATTTGTCTCTGTGACAATCCTAGAATGATGTCACTCTCAAGTGAGAGGTCTTTGAAACAACTACCTTTTTATCTTTTGCGCAATTACTCATAAAATCTATAAAATATCTCTACATGGACAGTAGTTATCTGAAAACATTTGTTAAACATGGGTCTTATTGTCATTTTGGTTTTCTCTGTGTTGTAGAGTACTGGAATTGAACCCAGGTCCTTGCATATGATATGCAAGTTTTCTACCAGTGAGCTTCATTCTCATCCCTGCAGGCATCTTCTAAAGGTGGCAAGCTGCTGTTCACTAAGAGAGAACCTGGAGAGTACGGAAGTACCAACATCCCAAGGCGCCGTACCTGAAGGGTCTGGTTCTCCCTGCCCAGCTCCTGCACAGCCGCAGTGGTGTTGTCCAGCTTCCTTTGCAGCTCTAGTACTTTGGTCTGAAGCTTTTCTATCTCACCTTCGCCTTTAAGACACCTTATGGAATAGATGGCCAAGAAAAAATTAATATTAAAAAAATCATTAAGGAGCTTTCTGGAATAGAGGCAATAGAATACTTTGGTAATTTTAAATATAATACATTAATTTCGCTATTTAATTTCTTTTAAAGTCTGATTTTCTTTTTTCATTTTTTATTATACTTTATTCACTTTGTATCCCACCTGTAGCACCCTCCCCCTTCTCCACGAATGCCCCTCCCCAAGTCCACTGATAGGGGAGGTCCTCCTCTCCTTTCTGATTCTAGTCTATCAGGTCTCATCAGGAATGGCTGCATTGTCTTTCTCTGTGGCCTGGTAAGGCTGCTCCCCCCTCATGGGGAGGTGATCAAAGAGCACGCCAATCAGTGTATGTCAGAGGCAGTCCCTGTTCCCATTACTATGGAACCCACTTGGACACTGAGCTGCATGAGCTATATCTGTGCAGGGGTTCTAGGTTATCTCCATGAATGGCTCTTGGTTGGAATATGAGTCTCAGAAAAGACCCCTGTGCCCAGTTTTTTTGGTTCTATTGCTCTCCTTGTGGAGCTCCTATCCCCTCCAGGTCTTTCTATCTCCCCCTTCTTTCATAAGATTCTCTGCACTCTGCCCAAAGGTTTGCCATAAGTCTCAGCATCTGCTTTGATACCCTGCAGGGTAGAGCTTTTCAGAGGCCCTCTGTGGCAGGCTCCTGTCCTGTCCCCTGTTTTCTCCTTCTTCTCATGTCCATCCTCTTTGCCTTTCTGAATGGGGATTGAGCATTTTAGCCAGAGTCCTCCTTCTTGATTAGTTTCTTTAGGTGTATAGATTTTAGTAGTTTTATCCTATATTACATGTTTAACATCCACTTATGAGTGAGTATATACCCTGTATGTCTTTCTGCTTCTGGGATACCTCACTCAGGAAGGTCTGATTTTCTTAATGGCTGCTTACATACCAGCAGGAGTTACACACTTTCCTCAATTCTTTGTCTAGTGAAAAAATATGGAATATGACAACATTTCTATTACTTGTAATAGCTACAAACCATTTTTTTGTCTTTTATTTTTATTTATTTATTTTTTTGAGACAAGGTTTCCGTGTGTAGCCCCGGCTGTCCTGGAACTCACTCTGTAGACCAGGCTGGCCTCCAACTCAGACACCTGCCTCTGCCTCCCGAGTGCTGGCATGCACTGTTGCCAACACCACATCCAGCAAGTACAAACTAATTTCTTCAGACATCAATCACCTTTCTAGCAGTGCTCTTCTTTCATCTTGGTTATTTTGAACCGTTGCTTCTAAGACAGCAATTTCACCCCGCAAATCATCCGTTTGCTTCTCAAGCTCACTAACTCTCCGTTGACTAGACTGCCACTCCTTTTTCACAGTACCCAAGTTTTCATTTAATGTTGTGACCTGCATGGTAAGCTTAGCTTCATTTTCTTCATGTTTCTTCATTTCTGCTTCCTTTTCTTTTATTTCAGAATGCTGAGAAAAAAATAGGGAAGGGGGAAGATATTACATAAGTAGTACAAAATAAACTTTCCACTTATTGAAATTAAAATACCCAAGATATAAATCATATTGCTTCTCCTGGAAAGATTTTCTCCTGGAAAGAAGGCAAGAGAACATATTTTATTTTACACTAAAATCCTGATTCTGCACACATGTATAATTTAAATAGACTTGCTTAAAGGATAATACAGAAATGCTGGTCAGCAACATTCTCAGTAGAGACAGAGTGATGCACTTTGAGACTCTACTGTGTACCAGGACAGGGAAGATGCTCATGGTAAGAGGATGAGGACATCCTGTCAACAAAGCTAGACCCTCTCCCTGCCTCTTATCATCACACCAAAGCTGTAATGCAAACTTCCAAATTGATGAGGACATTTGGCAAAGCTTTCTGGTGAGATCTTGGGAGTCAGTTCAATAAAGAATAGCCAGATGTTTCCTATGAGGTAAATACAGTGCAGGAAAAGAAAAGCGGACTTCAGTTATCATAATTCCAACCCAATGTTTCTGTTCCCAGTTTTCAAAATTCACCTTGGCCAAATGAATGTGTTTAATATGGCTAGTTTCATTCACCATACACTTTTATGTGTTTGGTTGTGTGTTCACTTATTTGTTTCTACACTAAAAAATATTTTACTATAACACCTAGTTGGATTTTCATTTATCTAAACTAAAATGTGATTGCAGAATAAGATATTTCCTATTCACCAGTTATTTAGGTAATTTGATGTCTTTTCTAATTTTAATATAAAAAAAAAACACTTCAATCATACTCTCTAGGTAGAAAATCTTCCTGAACTGATTCAAAGCTCTACTTTAAGCACGTTTTTTGCTATGATGTTAATTTCACTGACCAGCTTCGCCTCCTTCTCAGAAAACTCCTCCTTCTGCTTCTCTTCCTCCTTCTTCGCCTGCTCTCGCAGCAGCTGCTGACCTTCCCTCTCCTGCTCAAGAGTTGCCTTCAGTGAGTCCACTTTGCCTTGAAGTTCTAATTTCTGCTGAATCAAAAGTTGTTTGGCATCCTTGAGATTTGTTACTTCCTGTTGAAAAAAAGCCAGAAACAAATCACCCCTATTTATAGCCTAATTTTCAGTTAATTCAACACAAGCTAAAATTATGTGTGAAGAAGAAATCTCAAGGGAGAAAATGCCACCACCAGATGGCCTGTAGGAAACCTGTAAAGTATCTTCCTGATGGATGTGGATGTGGGTGGGCCCAGCTGCCTGGTAGCACCCCTTGGCTAGTGGTCCTGGGTGCTGTAAGAAGACGAGTCTTTGAGTTCAACCTTTCAAGCCGCTGACTTAAAGTACAAGGTATTTACTTCCTAGTCATTAATCATTTCATTCAGGTGATACTCTACAGACATGTGTTTAACTACCCTATCAAACAAAGATCTCTACACATTTCTTTCAGTTGGTTCACTTACCATGTGTTTACTGAGTAACCAGTTAGTCATCATACATAGTATTATGTTCTGAGTACACACTCAATTACAAAGTCACATACATATCGGAAGGCCTCAGAGAGAACACCTAAGCTTTCTCATGAATATGCACAACACTTTACAAAGCAAATGGTAGAGTTTCTACAACCAACAGAAACTCTATCTATGCTTCTAAGGCATAAAATGTTAAACCATAAGATTATAAAGGGATTTAAAGAAGAAGAATAATTGAAAAACCAAACTCCCTTAAATTCAAAATCTTACATGTTTGTAAATTTATTACTTATAAACAAATTTATTTAATTTTCTACTTCATCATTTCAAATCTAAGCTTATCCTGTAGCTGCTTTGCTTTATTCCATAATTAGAGAATAAAGTATATTTAATATGGATATCATGCAATAAATATGGACAAAATTCATGCCCTCTGTCCCCGGTATTCACCAAAAACAGTAAAATAGTTTGTCTAGCACATGGTAGGCTCTTTCTCAGCTTCTCTAATCTAGTGCACATGAATGTCAAGGGCAAAAATACAATGGTCGAGAGGGAAGCGTATTATCTTAACTTACCTTTAGGCTTTCTTGTTTGTGAGACTTGAGTTCTTCACTGAGTTTAGTAATTTCTTTTTCTTGTCTACACTTAATTTCCTCCATCTCTGCCAGTTTAGACTTTTCATTTGCTAGTTCTTTTTCCTTCACCGACTGTGAAGAAATCATAGATAAATTTGAAGAGTCTACTTTGTTGAAAATTAGTAAGCTAAAATTTTTGTATTTATGACCCTGCTTATACCTCTTTACTGAGGCTAACTGGAGCAGATTATGCACCTTCCCTTCCTGTTTAACTTGATAATGTCACCAATGAGATTAAATAGTTACAGTGAATATTAAAAGGTAATGGTACCTAGGCAGAGTAAAATACAGCAGTACTATTCATTCTTACAAGTTCTAGTATTATCACTGCTTTAAATAAGGTTTTTCTGGGTAGACTTTTCAATCAATAGCTTATAAATAAATAAATATTTTTAAAAAATTAAAAATTCTCTACTAGGGATAGTTAACACTAAAAGATGTGTCTGAGCTAAAATCATTACAGTTAAGCACCAATTAAATACCATCTGTCAAACCTATCTAAACTTGACATTTAAATCATGAATGCCATTCCAGCTTTACAACCCTCCTTCCTAAAAACACTCAATTTTTATAATTAAAGGGAATTTCTATTTCAAATATACCAAAAATTTCTATTGTGTGAAAAACATGCTTATAAAACCACAAAAAGTATAAGAAAACTGAGTTGACATCACAAGGAAGTGGTGAGGAAACACGTCATAGCACAGAGCCTCCAGCGACTGTGTACTCTCACACACTCTCAGGTCCTGTGAGAGCCACTGAGTTGGACCGGGGGTTGGCCTGCAGGTCTTCAAGACTTGTGCAAGTCTAGAGTCTGGGTTAAGCAGAGAAGCAGGTACCTTTTCTCTCTGAGCATCCTGCAGTGCTCTACTCTGCTCCTTTAATAGCTGTTCTTTCTTCGCCGAGTCCTGCTCCAAAGTAGCTTTGGCAGCCTGCAGTTCTTGAATTGATTTATTTTGGTTTCCAATTTGATTTCTGTTTGAAATCAAGTCTTCTTGTGCCAGAGAGAGCTTCTCTTCTACAGACTTATAAAAAATTATTTTCTCAAGTTATTATGATTAATAAATTTCAACAAGCATAACAGTTAATAAAAGCAAATAGTAGATAATCACACATCAATGATGAGAACATGTTCTGGACATCTTTGTTACAAGATCTGTACATGAACAGATTTACACAAACCTACATGGTAGCCTACTCCATACCTGGGCTATCTGGAATAACCTAATGCTCTCAAGCTACAAACCTGTACAGTAAATTAAAGCAGTAAATACTGTAAGCAGGTATAACACTAGGAAGAGTAAACTTAGATAAACTAAGTACATAAACTTAGATAATTGTAGAAATAATCAGAAAAGATACTAGGCAATAGGACTTTTCAGCACCATTAGGATCTTAAGAGGCCAAAGCTGGGCCTGGTGGCTTAAACTGTTAGTCCCTGCACTTTTGAGCCAGAGGCATGTGGCTCTCTGTGAGTTGGATGTCAGCCTGGTCTACATAACACATTCCAAACCAGCCAAAGCTGCTTAGTGAAACCTTGTATCAGGAGAGGGAGGCAGGGGAGAAAAGAAAAGAGAAAAGAGGAAGGGGGAGAGGGAGGGAAGACAAAAGTGAAGGTTTATTCTGAAACCCCTACAAATAATCTAAAACCATTTACTGAATACTTATAATAGGAAGGAATATTGGATGAGAAACAACCATATCAAATACATTAGAGAACATATATATGGTTGGATAAAAGACCAGTGGAAATATGAAAGAGAACAATTTAAAAAGAAATACAGCCAGGTGGTGGTGGCACACACTTTTAATCCCAGGACTTGGGAGGCAGAGCCAGTCGGATCTTTGTGAATTCAAGGCCAGCATGGTCTACAAAGCAAGTCCAGAGCAGCCAAGGCTACACAGAGGAACCCTGTCTTGAAAAACCACCCCCCCAAAAAAAAAGGAAAGAAATACAGTTGAATGCTAAATATGGATACACATACAAATACATTTTCTAGGATCTACACCCCCTGACCTGGTAAACACTAATAAACAGGACAAAATTTTATGATAGGGGGACATTTCACAGCTATCAATCTGATTCAACAAATTTAGCTTTATATTTAACACTGTATTCTAGTCAGCCATCAGTCCATTATCTGAGTGCCTGTCTCAGTGGTACAGCAAGTGATGTCGCTAATATCATAGTTCCTGACACCTCATGTGGGCATGAATACTGTCCTGCTAATAGACTTTGAATCACTATGGAAACCAACCTTTGAGTATATTGTGAAGGAGCTGCTAGACTAGGTTAATTAAGCAGAGAGACCCACCCTAAGTGGGGCAGTGTCATTCCTTGGTCTGGGGTCCTGGCTGAATGAAGAGAAAAGAAGGAAGGCAGGGCAGCAGCACTCATCTCTGTCCCTACAGATACAATGTGACCTCTTGTTGCCTTGAGCTCCTGCTTCCATGACTTCCCATCATGGTGGACACTGTATTCAAACTGTGAATCAAAAAAATCCTTCTTCTTCAAGTTGGTTTTGTCAGATTTTTGTCACGATAATGAAGAAAATAACTAATACAAAGTGAGGTGAGTTATTATCACAGTTACTGACTACTCTAAGGCTCACCAGTTTTGGGAAACTGAAGTGGAAAAAAGAGCTGCGTTTCTGCCTGTTAGGTTACAGTTGAGGGATATGGTCCTAGCTAAAGGAACTGCCATTCTCAGCTACTCTTGCTAAGGGTCTGCAGGGAGTGAGGACTAGCTAACACTCTTCACCAGACCTCATAGAAGCACATGATTCTGACCAGAGAGGCACTTGCCCTGAAAATGAGGCAGATAATGCAACTCAACAAAGGACCTCTGCCAGCCAAGAGTGCACAGAAAACATATTTAATAAAAGAGAAGCTAGGCATAAATGCCTATAATCTCAGTGCCTGAAAGGCTAAGGCAGGAGGATTGCGCATGAGTTTGAGTGCAGCCTAGAAAACAAAAGTGAAACACTGCCTCAAAAATAAATAATGAGGGCTGGAGAGATGGCTCAGCGGTTAAGAGCACTTGGCTACTCTTCCAGAGGTCCTGAGTTCAATTCCCAGCAACCACATGGTGGCTCACAACCATCTATATTGAGATCTGATGCCCTCTTCTGGCATGTATGTGTACATGAAGATAGAGCATTCATATACATAAAATAAATAAAAAAATATTCAAAAAAATAAATAATGAAACAAACAAATATGATTTAATTTTAAGATTATGCTTCCTGAAAAAGGAAGGTTTCCACTTCCCAGTAACTCACTCGGTTCAGAATCTTTTAGATATAAAGCTCAAATTTTAAATTCTAAACCCTTTCAGACTTTTTTGTCAGTTATACCCAGAGTGACCTTGTTTTCTACTAGTCAGGCTTCCATTATTAACTGAGTACCCTGCATAAAATGATCCTCATTACAGAAGAGCAGTGTGTAAGCAGAAACTTCACAGGGAAGCCAAGTAAATGGTTACCACCAAGTACCCAGGAAAACAGTGTGAGATCCTTGGAAAATGAGGCATGTGCTAACTGGCCCAGATATCATCAAGGAAAAACTGACTTTTCAAATAATAAAATACCTGGGCTGGGGTGGGGAGTGTGTAGGTCAGTGTGGAGTACTGGCTGGCTTGCATAACAGCATGGATTTGTGTTCAGCGCTGAAACGGCTGAATTTCAAAGCCTATTATATAAATCTACTATAATTGGATAATGGAGATTCTGGTTCAACAGGCTTACTAATAAAATCAAGAAAGCAGTAGTACCTCTAAGAATTTCTGTAAGAATTTCAAAATGCCCACAAAACCTCCAACTATCATTGGTTTATAAGATTTTTACATGCATGGACGCTAAGAATTTAAACGTTTGAAGCCCTTTAATTAGCTCTTTAAAGGCAAGAAATCTTTTTAAAGATGCCAAGGGCTACTGCTCTACCCTGTCTTTGAACATGCAGTGCTATACTCCTACAAAGCATGGCATGGTAAGTTCCCACACGGTTCTGCCATGCATGTTTCATTTGCTCAGCACTGCTTACCTCAGGATGCTCCTCCCAGTCCATTTCTTTGCTCTTTAACTATCTTTACCCTACTCTCACCCATGGCAACAGGCAAATCACTGAGTAGATCACCCTCCAACCTTGACAGTGATTACAATGATTATAGCATCCTAGTGAAAAAAAAATTGCTATGGTCCCTTGTGTTTCCAATGTTGTTTTTTTAAATTAAGCCTGCCTTCCCATACTTCTTTCAAATAAAACCTTGATGTTAGTTCTTACTTTTTCTGATGTCTGGTAAAATGGCATGAGAAAGTACTGAAATAAGATTTAGGTTTAATTCTGTATAACCCTATAATTTTCATTTCACATGGGCATAAATTTATATTATGAATTTATATTGTATAATGAATTCCATTTCTATTCTTCCTGGACAAATAAAAGCACTGATGATAGCCAATAGAAATACCCAGTAAGCAAACTGTTTCATAAACGATCCAGCAGATGGGGCTAACAACACAGATAAGACCAGGCTTGTTCGCCCCTACTGGTGTCCAAGCACATACTGTTAGCCTGAGGTATACACTGAGCTACGACAGAAAGCCTTCCCACAGCTAAATGTCATGACACAGAATGTTCTCTCTTCTCCCTTCTCTCTCACATGTGAGATTGGCTCACTAAAGCAAAAAGAAAAAGTGGTTGACAACCATCTCTCTTCCTGATCTACTAATACTTGTGCTTCCTTAGAAACTTGTTCATTAAAAAGGTAGTTTATACACATCTCATTTTAGAATCATTAAAACAGATTTTACAAACTTTTATAAAAAAAATCTAGTGAATTGGTGGTAAAAGGGGGCTTTGAGTAAAGCAAACAGCTCCAACTACCTTCTGTCCTGTTGCATTACTAGTCTTGCCTTCCCTGCAAAAGAAACTTCAAAAGAGTCTCCATCGTACCTTGTAAAACCTCTTGGGCCTGCCCTTCTGCTTTCTTTTATTCAGATTACATGCAAGTCCCCCAGTGGAGCCTCACTGCCTTTAGGTTAAATCCAAACTTCTCCTCAAACTTTCTCTACCTTTCAATATATTGTAAAACAAACACAACAATTTAACAGTAATAAAATGACCAGCTCTAATTTTTCTTTTTTTAAAGATTTAATTTTATTTTTTATATGTATGTATGTTTTGCCTGTATGTATATCTGTGCATCAAATGTTCGAGTTGCCCACAGATGTCAGAGCATCAGATCCTCTGGAAGAGTAAGTATTCTTAACTACTAAGCCAGCCCTCCCTTGCCTTCAGTGTGTGTGGTGGGGGAGGGAAGAGGGCTAACTCTCCTTTACCCTTCTTTCTTTCTTTCCCCACTTTCCTGTTTCTGTGTCAAGTCCTTATGACTGATCCCTTGCCCTCCACTTGGCTTGCTATGAACTCTGTCCTTTATCCTTTCTATTCTCTTAACTCTAATCCCAATTCTGACTAACTCACATCTTTATACCAGACTTCATGAAGAAAGATTTTTAAAATTTATTTTTATTTATGTGTGTGTGAATGTGCCTGCTTGAATAAATAGGCATCACATTCGTACATCAGATCCCCTGAAGGACAGAAAAATCTTAACTGATCTCCCCACTAGGTGACCCATGCTCCTCACTTGACTCCTTGTTTTTCTTTCTTTTTTCACTCAAGTAAAAAATTAAATTGTTTTCTGCTAAGCATTTAATATACTTTACAATGAGAAGCCTACTTTTTAAACCTAAAAATATAAATCCCAAACATAAATCAGCACTCCAGGTTGCTCTGCTCACTTTCTCCATCTTTGTCAAGACTGTATTTCCAAGTGCTACCTGTAATTCAGGACCTGCTCATATATCTAAGTGGCTTAGTTCTCCTCATGAACTCTTCCCTACAAGAGCCCATGAATAAAACACAAAATATATACAATATGTATAAATAAAATGTTTTAATGTTTGGTGATTCTCAACAAAATTTTACACTAGTGCACTTTAAACAAAAGAAAGATTTACTATTATAAAAGGAAAAAGAAGGACAAGAAACAAACAGGGACAGAGACCGTATCTGAGGGAAGGAGCAAGGGTGCTGGCTCAAGGTCCTGTGTGTAAGAGCAAACTTTCCTTCATAGAGGTACCATGCTGCATAAAATTTGATTACCTTTTTATTTATACTTTTCATATTAATAAACATGACGCTTTATTTAATCATATAGTATTATTAATTAAGGCTATATTTAATTGGCCTAATTTTAATCATTAGGCATTCCTGTAAGCTTAGAAAATTGACAAATACATAACACTAAAAGTCAGTTTTGCTTGATAACAATAGAACCATTTGTATTTTTTTTACAACGGGCGTATAGCCAGCCAATCTCTGTAGTTATTCTCAGATAAGGCTTCAAAATCAGAAAAGCTAACAGTGTAATAACATATGCCCAAAATATTTTTCTATAACTCATTTAAAAATAAGTTTTTATTTTTTAATTATGTATATTATGATTTTTGTCATAAAATAAGTTGATTCAAAAAACATTAAAGGAGTAGTTGAATAAAAAAAATGTGGTACTTTGCAAATATTAATTTCCCTTGCCCATTAGGCAACTGTTTACTGGGCTTTGTAACATACTGTAGTTTACTATACCTTTAGGTCTTGCCGTGTGGCTAGAAGTTCAGACTCTTTGCCGTAGAGATCAGACTGAAGCTGCTTCAGGTTTGCCTGGCACTTTTCATAGGTGCTCTGCAGCGCTGACAGTTTCTCTCTCTCTGCTGCACGTTCCTGGGCTGCCTGTGATGACTGCTGCTGCAATGTAGTCTCCAGCTCTGTCTGAAACATGCAGGAGCGATTTCAAAAAGAATGCAGTTAAAAGCCCGTCAAATAGAAAACAGAATTTATACAAGTAAATCCTGTGATAACCAGCTAAAGTGCATTTTGCTCTAAGCTCATATTTGAATAAAGAACAACCTACTTTAAATGTAAAGTCAGAGAACTACAGAACGAGCAAGTCCCTATTTAAGTGCAAACATCATCAGAGGGAAAGAGAGACCATCTACTATAAAGTAGTAGGCACTTGCTCTCAGGAGCCAAGCAACACTGGTGCTATGAGAAGGCACAGTCCTGGATTTCTTGAATGACATTTTAAAGCTAAACTAAGAAAAAATACTACATGAAAAAATTAAGAAGCCATTACTGTGCTGAACAGAATATGTAGTTCCTACTCTTGAAAACTCAAGAGTAACTCTGGGAACTTCTGTAAATCATCTTTATTAATATCAAGACAGAAAATGATTTCATGAAGTTCAAATTACTCTAAAACCAAGACTATTTGGGAGAGATATAAACATATGACATATTTAAAATTTGTCTGCATGATGGTAAATAAAATATGCTTGGCTTTTAAAATAAGTAACTACCTCTCATTGAGTGAAACAGTTCTGGCAGAGGCTTAGAAGGACAAAGTCATTGAAAGAATAAAGAGACTGAAGAGTAGGTACTGAGTAGTACTTACTAGGAGAATTAGGCTCCTTGGACTGTGACTTATGGTGATTTATTGTATGTTTTACAAAGAACTAGAAGATAAGAAAGAGTCTGAGGGTTCTCAACAGGAAGAAATGATTAAAAGAAAGAGAAATGCTAATTCCTCTAATTTTATCATTAAAAATTATACACAAGTTTTCATCTTATTATACTACTATTCCTTAGAAGACTATTTGTTTTGAGAAGCAGAAAGGGGTGGATCCTGATGGGAGGAGAGGTGGGGAGGAACTGGGAAGAGTAGAGGGCAGGGAAACCATAGTCAGGATATATTATGTGGGAAAAAAAAACACAACTCTTTCAATAAAACAAAAAGTAAACAAGTATAACAAGTATAGAATTATCCCTACATCTATTCTATGAATATATATAGTCATGATGGTCAGTTAAACTTTCATAAAGATAAAATGATATATTAGTTTAGTGAATCTGAGGCTGATGCCATCCGTATCCCTCATGTTTCAAAACCATCACTTAGAGCCACTTGATACTTAACTGTGTTTCCTAACGCATTTTCCTGCCCTGGTTTCCAAAACATTCATTCATGTTTCAGGCTCTCTTGCAATTTTGCTGGTCATTTCTCCTCAGATTATTTTACTGGTTTCTTTTCTTCAACTATAGCTCTCAATACTGTAGAACTCCAAACTTCTGGCGTTGCCCCACTTTTATTTTATGGATTTTTTTTAAAAAGATCTCTTCTAAAACTATAGTTTTAAACACCCTTCTTAAACAAGTATTTTTATCCTCTCCACCTGAACTTTGAGCTCTTATTATCTAGGAACCTTCATGATGTCTCTTGAACAATCCACAGATAACTTTCTCAACCTGAACTCTGGATTTTGCCCATCAAAAACAAACAAAAAAACAAACAAAAAAAACTTTACTACGTCACTCAAATAAATACCCATGTGCACAAATTCAAAGTTATCCTTGATTCTCCCAATATCTCTCAACTTGTAGTGTATCATAAAGGCTCAATAACTATACTTCCAAGCCACACTTTGTAGCCCATTCTCCATACTTTGTGCCTCCACAGAACTGCCTCGTCACTGCAGCATCTTCTGGGTGCCTTTCCTTCTTGCTCCTTCATTTCTAGTTAGTCATATATTATAACTGGGTGTGTCAAATCTGATGAAAATAAATCCCTCAAGAGACTAAAAATATCCATAGGTCAAAAACTATCATTCTGTAATCTTGTAAGTCCAACAATTTGCCTGTAAATGATGGAGTACCTGTCTATTTCTCTTTTGTTACTCTTCCTCAAGCTTGCTCTAAGATATCTGTATTAATTAGCCCCAAATCATGGCATGGATAGAGTTTTTGTTGTTACTGTTTTATTTTTATTTTTATTTCTGAGACAAGGTGTCACTATGTAGCCATGCCCACCCCAGAATTCACAAGCTGCCCTCAAATTACAGATATCTGCTTGGTTCTGCCTCCTGATTGCTGAAATAAAGGTATGTGTCACCAGTCCCAGACTTGTCACTGGTGGCTTTTATAATTCATGTGCAACATACATCTCTCCAGGAAGGCTTTTATAATCATTTAGGTTTTAGTAAGACTCTGCCCCATCATTCTTTCAAACCACTCGGCTGGTGTGTTTGGCCCTAAAGTATAACCTCCACAAGCACAGGCACTTGTCTGTTTTGTTAATAGCTGTATCTCTAGCACCCAGAATTATAACATGGCATTAAACATCAAGAAGATTTCATGAGTTCTAATGGATACGAGATGCAAAAGCCTGAGACATCTGTTGCTTATCTATCAAAATGATCCAGATAAGAAAAACATATTACACTGGACAAGGCTATTGACAGTGGAACATGAGAAGAGAAAGGCAGAGCTAGGAGGTGGACTGACAGGAATTGATGTTAACTGCCTGAGGACTGAGAGAGAGAGTTAACTATTCTCTACTACACACTATCCACCCAATTCCCTTTCACAGAGTTCTTAGAATTAATGGTTGGGAATCAAGACATCCGTTACATCATAGGTCATACATTACTATATATGTTCTTCTCTAGAAGCTCACTTCTTTTCTTCGATGTTTTTACCACAATCTAATTTTAGGTATCATCTAGTGAAGCTGTACAAATCATATGAAATAGATATTAATCTAAAACCTTTAAAAATCATAATAATTTAATGAAAACAAAACATGTAAAATTTATTTTCAACTCACTAAATTATAGTGATATAAAAATAAAGTTTCAGAAATACCTGGATTTGATACTGAATTCTGGGAGTTGGGGAGAGGGAGGCTCAAATATCAATATGTATAAATTAGGAATGATGACATATAGCTATAATTCCAGATATTTGAAGGGCTGCGATAGGAAGATGGAGACTTCCTGCCCAAACTTGTTATCACAGCAAAATTCGCCTCAAAAATAAATCACACACACACACACAAAAAAAGACATTAAAATGTGTAACTAACAAGGCCTATACAAGATGGAGTTCTTCAACGTACCGTCACAGATAGGAGAGGCTCATGAGGTCCTGGTCCTAGCTGAAGAGCCACTAGCAGATAACGGCTGCTAGAGGAGCCATTTGTTTTCAGTGGAATAGCCACTGGTGTGTTGTTTATATTCTAGTAAGTAATGCCACGCTAATGTTTGTACCAGGAACCCAATTATAACTCAGTGGCCACTTTTTTAAAAAGGACATAGTTTCTCTTTTCATTAATTGTTATTACACATTTAGATATGTATAATGAAAATAAGAAGCCTTTAATTTGAAAAAGAGCAAGGAGGTATGGGAGGGTTTAGGGGAGGAAATAGAGGGAATAGATGACGTAGTTATAATCTCAAAAATAAAAGAAATAATTTAAAAAAGGAAAGAGAGTTAAGTGGTGCAGGAGCTTCTTAGGATGAAGTAGTCCAGAGGTGAGAGGGAGGAAAAAAAATGAGAGCAATAAGCATGGTATATAGCATAAACTACATACAGGGACTTATTGAAGACTAAAAAGGATTTTGAAAAAATGTGCAACAAATTCACTACGACAACTATAATCCAGTTTCTGATTACATATGAAAGCACAAAAAGACAAATGTTTCTATACTGCCTATATTTTTAGAAAATTACTTTTATGTTATGTGGCATAACCGAAAACTGTTAAATATCAGCTTCATATGCATTATCTCTGGTTTTTACTCTAGTAGCACAGCAGCCAACTCTTAATGACATGGCCATTTTGTTTACCTACAGACTAAGGACTGTACCCTCTTCTTTAAAGACCAACTCTTTTTTATTTTAAAATTGATTTATTATTTTTAGTTTTCAAATTTAAATATAATCACATCATTTTCTATTTCCCTTTCTTCCTTCCAACCCCTCAAGTAAAGAGTTTTTTCTAAAGATTGACATTTTCTTTTTTTTAATTAAATTTTTATTTTTTATATTAATTAGTTTATTCACTTTGTATCCCAGCTGTAGACCCCTCTCTCATCCCCTCCCAATCCCACCTTCCCTCCTTCATCTCCTCTTAGGCCCCACTCCAAGTTCACTGTTGGGGAGGTACTCCTCCCCTTCTATCTGACCCTCCTTTGTCAGGTCTCATCAGAACTGGCTGCATTGTCCTCCTCTGTGGCCTGGTAAGGCTGCTCCCCCTTCAGGGGGAGGCGGTCAAAGAGCCAGCCACTGAGTTCATGTCAGAGACAGTCCCTGTTCCCCTTACTACAGAACCCACTTGGACACTGAGCTGCCATGGGCTACATCTGAGATATTCTAGGTTATCTCCATGAATGGTCCTTGGTTGGAGTATCAGTCTCAGAAAAGACCCCTGTGCCCAGATTTTTTGGTTCTGTTGCTCTCCTTGTGGAGCTCCTGTCCTTTCCAGGTCTTTCTATCTCCCCATTCTTTCCTAAGATTCCCTGAACTCTACCTAAAGTTTGTTTGTGACACATGGCCATTTCGGTTACCCTACAGAGTAAGGACTATACCCTCTTCTCTAAAGACCAGCTAACATACAAAACTAACAGTAAGAACGACCTTCCTTTGCTCTACGTGTTTAATACTGAATCCATCTTCTTTCACTAGCTCATTTTGGACAAGATGAGAACAGATTTAAGAATGAAACTGGTTAACAATAAATTGTTGCTTTCTTCTTGAAAATAAAAACATCTGCTATAATATAAAAATGTCAAGAAAATCTGACATTGCTGAGTTTTTAAATATATTACACTTTATGATTTTTGTCATTTTTCCATTGTAAGAATGATTTATTATAAATTTATTTAAACTTTTCTAAGACAATAGAAATGCTACATAAGTAATTGCCCCAATGTCAAACATTACTTCTATGTATTTTCATGATTATTAGACAAAGGATTATAAAAAATTTAAATAATAAATTATCTGACATTACAATGAACACTCAGACTTAAATCAGATATCAAATATAACCTATATTTTACAAAATTTTAAATATATATATCTATAACGAAACTCTCATTTTATCTTAACTTCCGCTTTTTTCTTCCTATAAAAAGTAATTCTTTTATCAGTACCTTTTGTGAAACAGCGTTTTTAACTTCTCCTTTAAGTACTTCAATTTGTTTTCTCTTTTCTTCAGCTGCTTGCTTTAGCTGATTGATGCTTCCCTGAAGCTGCTGTTCTTCTTTTTCCTTTTGTTTTAATGTATTTTGAGCCTGTGCGACTTCTCCCTTGACTGAACTGAGTTCTACCTTCAACTGTTGAGAAGTCTAAAAGAAATTGAAACTTGTTTGACTCATTTATTCATTCAGAACACATTTCCTGTGTATCTGCTGCAAGCAACACACTACTTTTGGCAGAGATTCGAACCTGCTGGCCACTTTGTAAATATGACTTATTTCAGAGACATTAATGATGTGAAATATTTGGTTACTGTGTAGTAGTCCAGAAACATCTTTTTGTCACTATACAGTCATCATCAAATATTATCACTAGGTGGTGGTGAAGGTTTGTCAATTTGACCGAAACTGGAGTCATGTGGGAAGAGTTTCAGCTGAGGAACTGTCTCCAGACTGAACTGTGAGCAAATCTGTGGGGCACTGTCTTGATTGTTGATGGACATGAGTGGGCCCAGCCCACAGCAGGTGCTGCTACCTCTGGACAGGTGGACATGGATAGATAAGAAACTAAGTGAGCAAACTTTGGGGAACAAACTAGTAAAGAGCATTTCTCCACAGTCTCTTGGTCTCTTCTGGAGTCCCCGCCTTGCTGGAGTCCCTGCCTTGGCTTCCCTGAATGATGGGCTGTGATCTGATTATGTAAGCCAAATAAATCTTTCCCAACCTGTTTTTGGTCAGTGTTTTATCAAAATAAACTAGGACAAGCTATGAAATAAGTCATGTTTAGGAATCTATTAATTTTTCAGCTTTAATGGTCTTTAACCCTATATAATTAAGATTCTCATGGTCAATTGATTTAATTTTCTGCTTTTCTTAATTATATTTCTTTATTTGTCCTTTACATTTTAAATTAGTTTAAATTTTGTTATGATGAGTAAAACACAAGCAATTTTAAAATAAACACATGAGCCATCACATTTTAGAGAAAAAAATTTGCTTGATTTCTGTATCAGGGTGAAAACACCTGGAAAATTCAAAGGCCTATTATATTTTACATATTTATATTAGAAGAAAACTGTACCTCTTTCTCTTTCTCGAGTGACTTTTTCAGTTCCTTCTGCTCCTTGAGCGCACTTTCTGTCTGTACTTGAAGCTGATGCTTTAATTCTTTACAAGTTTTTTCCTAATAAAGAAATGTAACACAGAAAAATGTCTGTAATAACTTACACGTTGTTTATCATTTATAAAGAAAAACAGAAGAAAATAAACCAGAACCCAACACACATACTCAGTTAGGGCATTTTGACTACGATGACATCTACTAAGAAAGTCAACGTAAACAGCTTACCAAATCTAATATAGCAGCTTTTCCTTTCTGATTCTCCTTCTCAAAATCACTTTTGGAGTTTTTTAAAGAAGCAGAAACTTGTGACAGTTTATCTTTTGTTGTAGACAGCTCCGCCATCAAGGCCTCCTTCTGTGCTGTCGCTGCTCTCAGGTCTGTGGCTGCCGCTTGGAGCCTGTCACTCAGCTCCTTGTGTTGTGTCTTTGCATCCTCACTTAATTTTTCAAATTCCTGCTTCAAGACAACTTTTTCTTCTTCTTTCTTACTGAGAGTTTGTGTAATATTTTCAAGAGCTTCAGATTTATTCTGCAGATCCAATTTTGTACGAGATACTCTGGATTAAAAAGAATTTTTAAAATTAATGTAAAATTTATCATTCAAAATTACTCATAAAAGACTACTAAGTCTTGAACTTTTTATATGGATCAGAAAAAATAATTTTAAGAACCTTAAAACAGCTCATCAGATGCGCATGATTTCCTTAGAAAGAGTGAAGTTATTTATACTTCCTAACTTAATTCAGTTCTCTATACCACAATAAGTGATCAGAGAAAGTCAGACACTGAGAGGGTCTACAACAAGCAGCAAAAGTTTCCCAGGATCCCTACAGTACAGAGTTAGAGTGTTATTCCCTAAACAAACACAGATCTCTCTCTTTCCTTAGAAATATGTCATATGTTGATGAATCTGAATATCAAAACATTTAACATAATATAGTAGGATATTTTTAAAGGAATCATTTTACTTCAAAAGTAAAGACAAATGGTTTATCTAACTTCAATAAAACATATTATAAAGTGATCCATTACCATGGATCCTTAGTACAAGTTTTCTTTTTTAATTAAACTTTTATTTTTTATATTAATTAGTTTATATACTTTGTATCCCAGCTGTAGCCCCTCCCTCATTCCCTTCCAATCCCATCCTCTCTCTCTCATTTCCTTCCTGCTCCTTTCTAAGTCCACTGCTAGGGGAGGTCCTCCTCCCCTTCCATCTGACCCTAGCTTATCAGGTATCTCCAGGACCAGCTGCAATATTAGCAAGGCTGCTCCTCCCTTAGGGGGGGAGGGGAGGAATACAAGTTTTCTTAATGCAGAATGAATAAGCTATAAGAATGAGAAGTGAAAAATATAGTTTTAAGAATGTACACTAATTCTTCTGTTTTCGTAACACTCAATGTGCTGATTATTTTTCTGTCAACTTGATACAAGCTAACTGAGAAAACACTCTCAATCAGACTGACTATTGGGTAACTCTGTGGTTCATTTTTTTAATTGATGATTTGTAGTGAGAATTCTGAAATTTTGGTTTCTTTAAAAACACAGAAATATTTTAAGAATATGTTTTTGTTTTAATCCTAGGTGTGGATATGGGCCTGCTTTGAACTATCCTCAGTAGCTGACTATCATTTGCCTCATGGTCTACCAGAGTGGTTTTCCTAACTGCAAAGTTTCTGCAATTGTGTGATGTATGAAATTCTGGGAACTTTATATAAATTTATATAGATTCAAGGATCTCTCTCCCTATATCCTTTTTTCTCTCCTATCTAGTGATAGGCAGTAAAAGGGCAGGAGGGGGATAAAAGGTGGAAAATGAACCCACAAAGTAGCAAAGACCAGCTATAAGCAAAGAAGAAACAAGAAAGAAATCATATTCAAGGATCTCTATCTCTCCCCTCTACCCTTCTTTATCTCCTATCTAGTGATAGGGGGTGAGACCAGAGGGATAAAGGGTGAGAAAAAAAGAATCCCAAAAGTAGCTAAGACCAGCTACTTCCAAGGCCCATTATGGGTAGTGCTAGCCCTGGACAGGTGGTCCTAAGTGTATGAGAAAGCAGGCTGAGTAAGTCACAAGGAGCAAACCAATAAGCAGCACTCCTCCATGGCCTCTGCTTCAGTTCGTGCCTCCAGGTTCCTGCCTTGATCTCTAAGTCCTGGCTTCCTTTGATGATGGACTCTTAACTCATAAAATGTAGTAAACCTTTTCCTCTCCAGATTTCTTTTGGTATTTCATCACAGCAAGAGAAAGCAAATGAAGTACTCAGAAGCATCAAAGCTACAAAATCCATACAAAGTTGAAAAAAAAAATACATTCCTAATGAGTAAAACTCCATTTTGTACTTAGTACTGTACCTCAGAGTAGACACTTAATGGTTCTTAGGTGATACATACACACATTCCAATATTTAAATTTCTTATATTAACTATTTCAAACTGGTGAACAACTCAAAATGAATGCTCAAGAGAACAGGTACCACATCACTGCTGAAAAGTGACTAAAATTATAGAACAACAGAAAATGAAGTTCACTTTAACCAAGTAATAGTGGCATTAATGTTACTGGCATAAGAAACCACACGCGCGCGCACACACACACACACCCCAAAACAAAGCAATACTACGTGAATCTCTAAGAACAGGCGAACAATCAAAACCTTAGGGCTATAAAGCAGGTCAGCTTACACTTCCTTCTCCTCGTCAAGCTGTTTCCTCAGCTCTTCAGTTCTGAGCTGTAGGTCTGCACTCAGCTGCCTCTGCTGGTGGAGACTCTGCAAAGCTTGCTCCTTGCCTGCTTTAACTTCAAGAGCATCAGCTTCTAGTTTCTGTGGGTGAAGTATAGCATCCATTTGAATTTTGACAAGAACTACTCTATTATTACATATTATAACATTTGGTTTGCATTCAAACCATTATTGACAAAATATACAAAATAGCTCTAATATATTTATAAAAACCCATTCTGAAACCACTGAATGAGGAAGTTGTTCTGCTTAGAGTCTGTCAGATATTCTAGAATAGGCTTTTTACATAAATCAGTGGTTATTTTAAAAGTTAATTATAAGAACATACTAAAATCTACAGAGCTAAAGAAGCTAAAAACAAGGAGGACCCTAGGGAAGATGCTTAATTCTCATTCAGAAGGGAAAACAGTACAAGAGAGGGAACAGAATGGGAGCCTACTATAGATGTCCTCTAAAAGAATCCACCCAGCAGGGGATCAAAGCAGATGCAGAGACTCACAGCCAAAGTTTGGACAGAGTGCAAGAGTCTAATGGAAGAAGGGGGATATAGAAGGACCTGGAGGGTACAGGAGCCCCACAAAAAGACCAACAAAGCCTAAAAAAGCTGTGCCACAGGGACTGCAAAGACTAATGTATCAACCAAAGGCCATGCACAGAGAGTACCTAGACCCCTCCCTGCTCAGATGTAGCCTGCAGACAGCTCAGTCTCCATGTGGGTACCCTACTAAAGGGAGAAGAGACAGTCTTTGACATGAACTTGGTTGCCTGCTTCTTGATTGCTTCTCCCTGGTGGGGTGACCTAGGCAGCCCACAAAGAAAGAGGATTCAGGCAGTCCTGATAGGATGTGATAGACTAGGAAGTCCTCCAATAGGGGAGGAGGACTTCCCCTATCAATAGGCTAGGGAAGAGGGATAGGGGAGGAAAAGGGAGGGAGGGTGGAACTGGGAGGAGATGAGGGAGGGGGCTACAACCGGGAGACAAAGTAAATAAATTGTAAATAACAACAATAATAATAAATTATAAGAAAATCAACTTAAACATAAATGTTTATTAAAAATGCAAACGTTTGTTAATTCAAGTTTGGAAAAAAAACTAAGTACCCACATGTATGTAGTTAACAGCCATAAAATAACAACATAAAAAAGAATGGATGTGTCACATAGTCTTCAAATTGACACATAACGACCCTAAACATACAGCACTTAAAATTTCCAACTTTGCTTATTTAGTGTCTTGGTTATAGTGTACTAGGCATCTCATAGATATTATTATGTATCATATTTTTTTCAAATTTATAAAATCAAACTACTACACATAGGTTTAAATAGAAGCAATGTGCTTTCTATTATCATTTGTGTGTGTGTTTGTGTGTTCATGTGTGTGCTTCTGGGGAGTTTGTGCATTTTGGGGACAAATGTCAAAACTGAATGTCTTTACCAATCACTCTCCATCTTATTTTGTAAGGCAGGGTCCCTCACTGAACCTGAAGCTTGAAGACACAGCCAGGGTGTGCAAGCCCAGGTCCCAAGGACCCTCCTTCCTCTGCCTACCTAGTACAAACATCACGGACCCTGCCATCGTGTCTGACCTTTACGTGGGTACTAAGTCTCCAAACTCAGGTTCTCATGCTCACAAGACAGGATTTACTGACGGGACAATCTCCCTAGTCTTCATTTAACTACTTTTTAATAAAACGTGAAAACATAGACATTATACATGCCAATAAAGAGCCTAATAATATTACACTTAAATTAGACATAACTCATTTGCCTCTTATCTGTGCAGAAAACTTTCAAAGAATCATTTTTTCTGACTTTCTGAAATGTACAGTATAAGGTGTTATCTAGAATCAATTATTGTGAGACAGCACCCCAGATACTCTTGTTCCAATTACAACTACTTTAGAAAGATTCCCAGATAAGAATTTTCTGTTTACGTTTCTGTAATACATCATTACCTGTCTTTTCAACCATCTCTACTTTGTCATTACTACTACTGTTGGCATTCAAAAAGAACAGCCCATAAACAGAACTGCAAAAGCCATTTTTTTATTATGCTGGTCTGGATGTCCATATAGAACAGTCATGTCCTAATACTGTAATCACAAATCAACTTCAACTGATTATGAAAGTGTAAGGAACATAGAAACCTAAGAATTTTTTTGTTTAACTGTTAGTAATTCCAGAAAGTTTTCCCTGATATGTCGAATTATTTCATCTTTTTAGTAAATCAACACTTCACTTAGAAGTATCTTAAAATAAGGCTCAGCTACCTTATAATGGTTTAAATGCATTACTAAATTAGAATCAAAATACAAAGGGGATATAAAAGTTTTAAAAAGAAAAAAATTCCACCATAGATGAGATATTATATTGAAAGAAGTTGTAGGGAAATGGAAAAATCAAAGAGGAGAAGAGATTTTGTAGCAGACTTATACTGTTCGGTGTCTCCTGGATATATTTTACACTTTACAATAAAGCAACGCTAATTAATTGTTATATATAAAAGCCACCCATTAATGAAGGAATTAAAAATAAAGATGGAATTCAAAATTAATTAACAGAGTAATTTTTAAAATTTTGTACCCCTTCACCTTTCTCTGTTACTTAATAGTTTTGACTCTGTTGAAGGTCATCAGACTCCAACACTGCAGAGTAAAAATATGACAAAATCAACGGCTTTTATACAAACCTTCATTTGACCTTCTAAATCTTCCACTTTTTGTTCTAGAGAGAGCTGCTTCTCCTTGTGCTCCTTGAGATGGCTCTCCAGCTGGCCGCAGTGCTCCTGCTTCTCCTGTAGCTTCCTGGTGACCTGATCGAGCTGCACACTCATCTTATTTAACTCCTGAAGAAAACATTTGAAGAAACACATTGGGAGCACCCAGATAGTCAGTGAAAGTATAACTGAAAATATAATTTTATATAAGAAAATATCTGGAAAAAGACTTCAGATACATTCAGTGACTTATCAGAGGTTATCTTTATCCATTAACAAGGAAAATTAAGTTGTACACAACATAAGACACCAAGCTTATTTATGTAACAGTGAAATAACTTAAAATTTAGATTATTTTATGCATATGAGTGTTTTTTTTCTTTCTTAATTATACTTTATTCACTTTGTATCCCTCCCGTGGTGCCCTCCCTCCTCCCATCCCAATCCCTCCCTTCCTCCACCCTGTGCATGCATGTCCCTCCCCAAGTCCACTGATAGGGGAGGACTTCTTTTCCTTCCTTATGATCCTAGTCAATTAGGTCTCATCAAGAGTGGCTGAGTTGTCTTCTTCTGTGGCCTGGTAATGCTGCTTCCCCCTCAGGGGGAGGTAATTAAAGAGCAAGCCAATCAGTTCATGTCAGAGACAGTCCCTGTTCCTATTACAATGGAACCCACTTGGATACTGAACTGCCTTGGGCTACATCTGTGCAGTGGTCTTAGGTTATCTCCATGCATAATCCTTGGTTGGAATAGCAGTCTCAGGAAAGACCCCTGTGCTCAGATTTTTTGGTTCTGTTGCTCTCCTTGTGGAGTTCCTGTCCTTTCCAGATCTTACTGTTCCCCACTTCTTTCCTAAGATTCCCTGCACTCTGCCCAAAGGTTGCCCATAAGTCTCAGCATCTACATTGATAGTCTGCAGGGCAGAGCTTTTCAGAGGTCCTCTGTGTCAGGCTCCTGACTTGTTCCCTCTTTTCTCCTTCTTCTGATGTCCAGCCTCTTTGCCTTTCTGGATAGGAATTGAGCATTTTAGCAAGAGTCCTCTCTCTTAATTAGTTTTTTAGGTGTACAGATTTTAGTAAGTTTATCCTATATTATATGTCTATATGAGTGAGTATATACCGTGTGCATCTTTCTGCTTCTGGGATAGCTCACTTAGGATGATCTTTTCCAGATCCCACCATTTACCTGCAAATTTCATGATTTCCTTGTTTTTTACTGCTGATTAATATTCCATTGTGTAGATATACCACAATTTGTGCATCCATTCCTCCACTGAGGGGCATCTGGGCTGTTTCCAGCTTCTGGCTATTACAAATAAGGCTGCTACAAACATGGTTGAGCAAATGTCCTTATTGTGTACTTGAGAATCTTTTGGATATATGCCTAGGAGGGGTATAGCTGGATCTTGAGGAAGCACTATTCCTAGTTGTCGGAGAAAGCGCCAGATTGCTTTCCAGAGTGGTTGTACAAGTTTACATTCCCACCAGCAGTGGAGGAGGGTTCCCCTTTCTCCACAACCTCTCCAGCATGTGTTGTCTCTTGAGTTTTTGATCTTAGCCATTCTGATGGGTGTAAGGTGAAATCTCAGGGTTGTTTTGATTTACATCTCCATGATGACTAAGGACGTTGAACATTTCTTTAAGTGTTTCTCTGCCATTCAATATTCCTCTGCAGAGAATTCTCTGTTTAGCTCTGTACCCTATTTTTTAATTGGATTACTTGGTTTTTGCTGTTTAACTTCTTTAGTTCTTTAAATATACTGGATATTAGCCCTCTGTCAGATATAGGATTGGTGAAGATCTTTTCCCAATTAGTAGGCTGTTGTTTTGTTCTGAGGACAGTGTCCTTTGCTTTACAGCTTTTCAGTTTCATGAGGTCCCATTTATTGATTGTTGCTCTTAGATCCTGTGCTGTTGGTGTTCTGTTAAGGAAGTTGTCTCCTGTGCCAATGAGTTCAAGGGTATTCCCCACTTTTTCTTCTAAGCTGTTTAGTGTGTCTGGTTTTATGTTGAGGTCTTTGATCACTTGGACTTTAGTTTTGTGCGGGTGATAAGTATGGATCTAACACCCTTCACAATAGCCACAAAGGACATAAAGTACCTTGGTGTGAACCTAACCAAGCAAGTCAAAGACTTGTATGAAAAAAATTTCCAGTCTCTGAAGAAAGAATTAGAAGATATCAGAAGATGGAAAAATCTCTACCATGCTCATGGCTTGGCAGGATTAACATAGTAAAAATGGCCATCTTACCAAAAGCAATCTACAGATTCAATGCAATTCCCATCAGATTACCAACACAATTCTTTACAGACCTTGAAAGAAAAATTCTCACTTTCATATGGAACAACAAGAAACCCAGAATTGCTAAAACAATTCTCTACAGTAAAAGATCTTCAGGAGGTATCTCCATCCCTGATCTCAAGCTGTACTATATAGCAACAATACTAAAAACTACATGGTACTGGCATGGTACTGGAAACAGACTGGTGGATCAATGGAATCGAATAGAAGACCCTGACATAAATCCACACACTTATGGACACCTGATTTTTGACAAAGATGCCAAAACCATACAGTGGAAAAAAGACAGCATCTTCAACAAATGGTGCTGGTCCAACTGGATGTCTACATTTAGAAAAATGCATGAGTGTTTTATGCCTACGTGCCAGTAGAGATCAGAGAAGGACATCAAATCTCCTGACATGGAAGTTACAGACAGTTGTGAGCTGCCATGTGGGCACTGGGAACTGAACCCAGGTCCTCTACCAGAGCAACGAGGCCCTGAACCAACTCTCTAGCCTTAAATAACTAAATCAAAACCAGGCCCTCATACATGGTAGGTAAAAACTATGCCACTGAGCTACTTCCACAGCGCATTAATGTTTTAATAATTTGCTAGAAATATTATCTAAAAGCTAAAAAATATGACAGATCATTAAGTTAAGAAAAGTAATTATTACATTATAGTTGAATGTTTTTGATTTTCAAAGCACTATTTAAAAATTATATTCCAAAAATATTGTAGATGTTACATCTGTAACACTTGCTTAAGTAAGTTCTTAGATTACCCAGTTTCAGGCTGGAGAGATGGCTCAGTGATTAAGAGCACTGACTGCTCTTCCAGAGGACCCAAGTTTAATTCCCAGCACCCACATGGCAGCTCACAACTACAATGCCTATTCGAAGGGATCCCACATCCTTACATAAACATACATGTAATCAAACACTAATATACATAAAATAAAAATAAAAGTTAAAAAAAGAATATCCAGTTTCTCAGAAAGAAAACAATAAATATTACTAGTAAGTCTGTTACCCATGGGTGATCAGTGTTAAATGTTTTGATAACTTTCTTTCTAATCTTCTCTGCATGTTAATTTCTTTTCTACTTATTTTATGTACTGATAACAGGCTGCAGTGGTAGTTCAATGGGAGATAACATTCCTAGAATGTGTGAGGCTCTGTATTTTATCTTTAGCACTACAATAAATGAATAAATAACTGGGTAAATAAAATTAAAATAGGATCCCACCTGCATACTAATTTATTTTATCACAATTTACCATGAAACTTGCTGATAGTTTTCTAGATTACATTCAATTGCAAGAATTCCCATCTTATTGGTATGACTCATTTTTTAAGCCAATCTACTTATTACTAATCTACTTTAAATTCTTAGATCACTAGTATACTTTCTGCATTTAGTACCAGAGATGCAAATACAATCCTTATAGCTATTTTTCCTTAGCATAAAACACTATAAAATATGAAAATTCTAAATTTTAAAATATTATTTTATTTTTAATTAGCAAACAGAGTAGCAGTTTGATTATGGCATTTTCTTAAATACTTTGATTATCCTCTCAGACTCTTGACCTCATCTCCCAACCAATTCTTGAGTTTCTGACACACATACATGCAAAGATACCAGAGATACACACACACACACACACACACACACACACACACACACACACACACATATTCAGGCAGACAGTCACTCTGTTTCCCTCCACAGTGGCAAATGTCTGTCATTATTGTCTCAATTTATAACTGATTCTTAAGGAACCAAAATGTTTTCTAGTACAGTTTTATATTTATGTACAAGTAGAATATTCCCTATATATGAAATTCCCTCCCCTATCAGTGGACTTGGAAAGAGGCTGGGAGGAGATGAGGGAGGATGGGTTTAGGAGGGAAAAAGGAAATGGGATACAGCTGGGATACAAAGTTAATAAACTATAACTAATATTAAAAAAAAAAGAAAGAGAGAGAGAAAATAAAGAATAAAATAAATGCTTAGTACCAGAAATTTTGAGACTTCAGGTTTTGGAATATGGACTTCACAGGTTAAGAACTCTTCATAAGAAACTTAACATGCAATGTGCTCCAAATCTATCATGGTTGCTCAAAAAGTTTTATATTGGGGATATTTTCAATATCAGCTTTTTAGGTTAAGTAATGGTCAACCTCAATTTCCTTAGAAATTTACTTCCTTCCTACAATGTTTTAAAAAACACCTCATCAAACAAATGTAAGATAAAAGAAACATGCAAGGTACCATAATTGCTTATGTGATTTCATGTGTATGGAAAAAAAGTTAGCGTGTCTATACCAACCAAAACATTATCAGGTTTCCTACCTGTTGTTTATCTTGTAATGCATTTTGAGCTGTGTCCAAATGATTCTGAAGATCAGCTCTTTGAGCAGTTTTTGCTGCTTCTGCTGATAATAATAATTCAGTTTTGGCTTTAATCTGTAACAAAATTTACATATTTAAATTTAAATATTCACATATTTAACTATTGACTTTCCCTTTCTTAAGACACAAAACTTACTATTCAAAGAATCAATGAAACAAAAAGCTGGTTCTTTGAGAAAATCAACAAAATAGACAAACCCTTACCAAACTAACTAAAGAGCAGAGAGAATCTATCCAAATCAGCAAAATCAGAACTGAAAAGGGTGACATAACTACAGATGCTGAGGAAATTCAAACAATCATTAGGTCACACTACAAAAGCCTATATGCCACAAAATTTGAAAACCTAAATGAAATAGACAATATTCTTGATAGATTCCATCTTCCAACATTAAGTCAAGATCAGGTAGAAAGACTGAATAGCCCTATATCCCCCAAGGAAATTGAAGCAGTCATTCACAGTCTCCCCTCCAAAAAAAGCCCTGGGCCAGATGGTTTCAGCGCGGAATTCTACCAGACCTTCAAAGAAGTGCTCACACCAATTCTCCTCAAACTATTCCACAAAATAGAAACAGAAGGTACATTACCAAACTCATTCTATGAAGCAACAGTCACCCTGATACCTAAACCACACAAAGACCCAACAAAAAAAGAAAACTTCAGACCTATCTCTCTTATGAACATTGACACAAAAATACTCAAAAAAAAAAAAAATACTTGCAAACCAAATCCAAGAACACATCAAAGATATCATCCACCACGACCAAGTAGGCTTCATCTCAGGCATGCAAGGGTGGTTCAACATATGGAAATCCATCAATATAATCCACCACATAAACAAACTGAAGGAGAAAAACCACATGATCATCTCCTTAGATGCTGAAAAAGCATTTGACAAAGTCCAACACCCATTCATGTTTAAAGTCTTGGAGAGATCAGGGATACAAGGCACATATCTAAACATAGTAAAGGCAATATACAGCAAGCCTATAGCCAACATCAAACTCAATGGAGAGAAACTTAAAGCAATCCCACTGAAATAAAGGACAAGACAAGGCTGCCTACTCTCTCCATACCTCTTCAACATAGTTCTTGAAGTCCTAGCCAGAGCAATAAGACAACTAAAGGAGATCAAGGGGATACAAATCAGAAAGGAAGAGTTCAAAGTGTCACTCTTTGCAGATGATATGATAGTATACATGAGTGACCCCAAAAATTCAACCAGAGAACTCCTTCAGCTGATAAACACCTTCAGCAAAGTGGCCGGATACAAAATCAACTCAAAAAAATAAGAAGCCCTCCTGTATACCAAAGACAAAAGGGCCGAGAAAGAAATTAGGGAAACAACACCCTTCACAATAGCCATTAATAACATAAAGTACATTGGGGTGACACTAACCAAGCAAGTGAAAGACCTGTTTGAGAAAAACTTCAAGTCTCTGAAGAAAGAAATTGAAGAAGCTCTCAGAAGATGGAAAGATCTCCCGTGCTCATGGATTGGTAGGATTAGCATTGAGAAAATGGCCATCCTGCCAAAAGCAATCTACAGATTCAATGCAATCCCCATCAAAATACCAACTCAATTCTTTACAGACCTTGAAAAAAAGATTCTCAGCTTCATATGGAGAAACAAAAAACCCAGAATCTCCAAAACAATCCTGTACAACAACAGATCATCTGGAGGTATCTCCATCCCCGATCTCAAGTTGTACTACAGAGCAATAGTAATAAAAACTGCATGGTATTGGCATAAAAACAGAAAGGAGGATCAATGGAACCGCATAGAAGACCCAGAAATAAACCCACACACCTATGAATACAAAGAAGCCAAAACCATTCAATGGAAAAAAGACAGCATCTTCAACAAATGGTGCTGGTCCAACTGGATGTCTACATGCAGAAAAATGAAAATAGATCCATATTTATCACCCTGCATAAAACTAAAGTCCAAGTGGATCAAAGACCTCAACATAAAACCAGATACTCTAAATATGTTAGAAGAAAAAGTGGGGAACAGCCTAGAACTCATTGGTACAGGAGACAACTTCCTGAACAGAACACCAACAGCACAGGATCTAAGATCAACAATCAATAAATGGGACCTCATGAAACTGAAAAGCTTCTGTAAAGCAAAGGACACCGTCATCAAAACAAAACGACTGCCTACAGATTGGGAAAGGATCTTCACTAACCCTTTATCTGACAGAGGACTCATATCCAGTATATACAAAGAACTAAAGAAGCTGAAAAGCAGTAAACCAAGTAATCCAATTAAAAAATGGGGTACTGAGCTAAACAGAGAATTTTCGACAGAGGAATATCGAATGGCAGAGAAACACTTAAAGAAATGCGCAACCTCATTAGCCATCAGGGAAATGCAAATCAAAACGACCCTGAGCTTTTACCTTACACCCATCAGAATGGCCAAGATGAAAAACTCAAGGGACAACACATGCTGGAGAGGTTGTGGAGAAAGGGGAACCCTCCTCCACTGCTGGTGGGAATGTAAACTGGTACAACCACTCTGGAAATCTATTTGGCACTTTCTAAGACAATTAGGAATAGTGCTTCCTCAAGACCCAGCTATACCACTGCTAGGTATATACCCAAACTTTGCTCAAGTACACAAAAGGGATACTTGCTCAACCATGTTTGTAGCAGCTTTATTCATAATAGTCAGAACCTGGAAACAACCCAGATGTCCATCAACGGAGGAATGGGTACAGAAATTGTGGTATTTTTACACAATGGAATACTACTCAGCAATCAAAAAGGAGGAAATCATGAAATTTGCAGGCAAATGGTGGGATCTAGAAAAGATCATTCTGAGTGAAATATCCCAGAAGGAGAAAGACAAACACGGTATATACTCACTTATATAGACCTGTAAGATATGACAAACATAATGAAATCTATACACCTAAAAAAGATTATCAAGAGAGCGGACATGGGGTAAGATGATCAATGCTCGTTTAGAAAGACAGATGGGATGCACATTGAACAGATGACAGGAGTCTACTGAGTGCATCTGAAAGACTCTAACTAGCAGTGTTTCCAAAGCAGATACAAAGACTCATGACCAAACCTTCGGCAGAGTACAGGGACTCATATGAAAGAAGGGGAGTTAGTATGATGGGGAAAGGATAGGAGCTCCACAAGGACCAAACATATCTGGGCACAGGGTCTTCTCAGAGACTGTCATTCAACCAAGGACCATGTATGGATATAACCTAGAACCTCTGCTCAGATGTAGCCTGTGGTAGCTCAGTAACCAATTGGTTTCCCATAGTGAGGGGAACAAGGACTATTTCTAACAGGAACTCAATGACTGGCTCTTTGACCTCCCCACCCCCCAAGGGAGGAGCAGTCCTGTTAGGCCACAGACGAGGGCTTTGCAGCCAGTCCTGAAGATACCTGATAAAACAGGATTGGATGAATGGGGAGGAGATCCCCCCCATCAGTGGACTTGGAAAGGGGCAAGGTGGAGATGAGGGAGGGAGGGTGGGATTAGGAGGAAATGAGGGAGCGGGACACGGCTGGGATACAGAGTTAATAAAATGTACCTGATAAGAAAAAAATAAAATTGAATTAAAAAAAAACCACAAAACTTAAGTTCTTAGGTATGAAGTAATAATCGAGACACTGAAATACACACAAATCTCCCAATAGAAGTGGGGAAGAGCAAAGACTCCAGTCAGGGTTAAACAACAACAGAAGGATGTCTTTCTGTGAAGGAAATGGTTCCAGGAGTGGAGACAGAGGTCTGTGATCTGAGCATATAATAGGCAAAGGTAAAAGAATTACAAATTCCAGACCAGTCTATTCTGCATGCTTAGACCCTATCTTATAAAGGCAGATAACTTGTATACATTTTTTTTTTTTTTCTGGGAAGGCCACTGTAGTTTTCAGAAGGAAATGCCCAAAGTCTACCAGTATCACAGTAAACTGGTGTAGTAAAGTAAGCTGGGCAGTGATGTCACACACCTTTAATCCAGTCAGATCTCTGTGAGTTCAAGACCAGCTTGGTCTACAGAATGAGTTCTAGGTACAGCCACCGGTACACAGAGAAACCCTGTCTTGAACTCCCCCCCCCAAAAAAAACCCCCACAAAACAAACAAACAACAATAACAAAAAATACCCAACCAACCAACAATCTAAAATATCCAATAAACTGAACTATGCCATTGAAAATGATAGTTCCAAAGATGAAGGATTTCAGAAGGGAGTCCAAACAATAAAACAAACTATAAATATGTTTAAAATTCACTTTCCAGATTCATTCTTCTCATGTAAAGAGTTTACTTTTGATTCTCGTTAAAAGCCAGACATTACACATTTAAAAACCTCAGGCTTTCTACAATACACTTTGAAAAAAATCAAATGAGTTAGGCTTTCTTTATCAAAAATAACAAGTATTGAAATAACTTTAATACAACTCATTTTTAGTAAGAAAAGCAAAGAGTAGAAAAATATAAATACATTTGAAATTGAAATATATTTAGAAGCGTTAAAATGATACTCCATTAGCTAAATGAAGAGAAAATCAGTAAACACAAAAAAATCTAAAACACACAGGATACTGTTAATTTTAAGCAGAAAGGTAAAGTTCCAAATAATTATTTCTCAATAACTCAATAATTAATCTTGGCAGAAATAATGCTAAATAATTCATATCTCTATCTGAGTTCAAAGTGAGAACTAGAGAAATCTATACTATAAATAACTGATTGACAAATGTGTATCAGACTGTGAATAACTTATTTTTGGGCAAATCAGTTTCATTTACATATAGCAATATATCTATCTGAGGAGCTAAAAATCATGAAATACTTTAAAATATATGTGACATATTTTCCAAAGTCATGTAATATGTTAAGATTTGAGGTTATGAGTAATAGGTCCACTATAGTCTCAGAAGGGTCCAATGGCAAAAAAAAAAAAAAAGATGAGGAGCAGTGGCATCTTTAGTCCCTTTATGTGCATGAAGATCAGAGACCCTGCCATTGGTGCAAATCCACACTGCTAGAACACAGGCACTACTGCCCTTATAGCAGTAAAGCACTAAGAACAGGCTCATGATGTACTCAGCGGACACTGAATGTGCTAATTTACTTTCACAATGTGCTGACTACCCTACTAGGAAGTACTTTGGAAACAGGAATCAAAGGTTACATTACACCAATCACCTTTGCATAGGAAGAAAGACACAGGAAACCTCAAGAAACTACGTGATTTAATTTGTATCTTCATTTTCCACTAATATGTAAAGCAAAACAAATGTCCAACATGTATAATCTAAAACTGATGCTTTATGCATACAAACTCATTAAATAGCATATTACCTGTATGTCAAGCTGAGACACCTTCTCCTTGCTTTCGTTTAACTGACTGCTTAGTTCAGTCACACTGGTTTCCAGGGACAGAACACGGTCTTGTGCAGCACGAAGATGTGCCTTCTGTTCCTGTACCTGGTCGTGCAAATTCTCTTCAGCTTGCTTATGGCTTTCCGACTGATTCTTCAGCTTCTCCATCAGCTGAGTTAGCTATTATATTATACATGCAAGAGTCTAATTACAAAGTTTGCAAATCACAAAAATGAAGAAACACATTTAAGTACCATCAGAGTACTGACCTGCTCTATCTATAACAGCTAATTTCAAGGTTCTTCAAGTAAAAATACTCACACCTCTCATTACTAACAAGTCAAATATATAGTATCCCAAACACTAAGAACATCAAATTCAGATATATTATTTCTAAATCATCTCATTCAACTAGAATTGATATTCAGTAAAATTCATCTAGCAATTATAAAATGTGAGATTCGATAAAGGTGTACACTCAGTTAACTACTGATGAAATCAAGGGATAGAGTAGTTTCACTATACAAAACTATTTTCGAATGCATCTCATAGTCATTCTTGCATTCTCCCTTCCCAGCTCTCCCCACTGATTGGAGTTCCTGCATACTGTAGGTATCGCTAGGCTGTAAGAGATTAATTATTATTATTATTATTATTATTATGGGAGTTCTCTTTAAATGTACAGATTTATATTTTGATAAGTCCTCCTCCTCTGATACTCATTACACTTTGCTAGCCTATGACATGCTGCCCATGGAGGCATGATTCTCTCTGCTTTATTCAGAATGGTTTCAACTATTGTTTTTATGTTCACTGATACTTTTTCTTCTGGCAATTTTCTACTCAAGTGTTTTACTTTTTTATCTTTAGCAGCTCTATATGGAGTTTTCGCATCATTCCCACATCTAGTCCCATTATTATGGTTTGCCCTTTACAGCCATAAACACTAGGGAGTATTTTAAAGTTTTTGTCTGATGATTCCATCATCTTTCATTTCAGGGCCCATTTCCACCAAGATTTTTTTTTTTAAGTGCAAGGCTAATTTTATTAGCATTTAAGAGAAAAATATAATACAAGTTAGGTGAAAATTTCAGCAACCCCCAGAAGACAAAAAGTCCTCATGAACAGAAACAGATCCTGAGGCAAATATGTATGATCAGTCACATCTCTACCTTTCCAGTAGTAGAGAGGAAGTGGTTTACTTGTCAGATAGGTAATAAGTCCTTCTGGAACACGAACTAAGGACATCTTTCATCAAAGCACTGCACATGCCTTCACTACACAGTGATCATGATAAATATTATCATATAAAAATAACATTTTAGAACAAGTAAGAAATCCAGGGTCACGAATTGTTTTTTATAAAACATTTCATAAAACCACAGGGACTTAGGGAAAGGTTAGAACAGTACAGTTTACAAGCATACTTGCTGTTGTAGTGTATGGTTTTTCTCTTGCAACTGGTTAAGAACAGCAGTCTCTCCTTCACCAGCTTGAATTTTCGCATAAAGGTCTTCTCTTTCCTTTTCTAATAAGGAAATATTTTCTTTACTCTTCTGCAGTAAGGCTTCAAGGTTCTGGATCTTCTGGTCCTTATCGCCAATCTGACGTAACACTTGTTCCAAATCATTCTGTAAAGAAAAACTACTATTTTAAGGATGGAAAATTTAAAAAGTTGTTCCTTACACATGAAATGACTAATAATTATTTTGATCATCCAAAATATTTGTCCTACATCTTAAAAACTACCATATTTCATTGTGAAAAATTAATTAAAACCACATGTTTAATAACATAAATTTGTATTATTTATAAGCACAAATTTAATTTAAAAAAAAGGTTACACTTTACTTTTTCTAATATTCTGACTTGACTTCCTACATTTCTGACCCTTTACAGGTATATGGAACTCACTCAGTGATTGCACCAAGCACACTCCTACCTCACAGCTTTTGCTCTAATGACCTTGCTGCCTTAAATGTTTCCCTAACAGTAAAGTGATTCCCTCCCTCCTCTTCAAATGTTTGCTCAAATATCACCTCTAGATAGAGCTGCCCTGAGCATTACATTTACTACTGTGGCATTTTGCAATATTCTATACACTGTTTTTTTCCACTGCCCTGCACTTATTTCAACATCCCATAGCTTGCTTATTTCTCTCATGTTTATTTACCTCCTTCCATCTCTCATTAGAACATATGCTACATAAAGCTGAGTCTGTTATCTTTCTTATTCATTGATATATATCCAAGATACAATACACCAAACACTTAAAGAAATGCTCAACATCTTTAGTCATCAGGGAAATGCAAATCAAAACGATCCTGAGATCTCATCTTACACCCATCAGGATGGTTAAGATCAAAAACTCAAGTGACAATACATGCTGGAGAGAATGTGGAGAAAGGGGAACCCTCCTCCATTGCTGGTGGGAATGTAAACTTATACAACTACTTTGGAAATCAATTTTCTGCTTTCTTAGACAATTAGGAACAGTGCTCCCTTGAGATCCAGCTATACCACTCCTAGGCATATATCAAAAAGATGCTCAAGCACACAACAAGGACATTTGCTCAACCATGTTCGTAGCAGCTTTTTTTGTAATAGCCAGAACCTGGCTTCCCTCAAGGGAAGAATGGATACAGAAATTGTGGTACATTTGCACAATGGAATACTACCCAGCAATTAAAAACAAGGAAATCGTGAAATTTGCAGACAAATGGTGGGATCTAGAAAAGATCATCCTGAGTGAGGTATCCCAGAAGCAGAAAGACACACATGGTATATACTCACTTTTAAGTGGATACTAGACCTATAATATAGAATAAACATACTAAAATCTGTACACCTAAAGAAGCTAAAGAAGAAGGAGGACCCTGGGTAAGAAGACCAATCCTCACTTAGAAAGACAGATGGGATGAACAGTAGAAAAAGGAAAAGAACAAGAAACAGGACAGGAGCCTACCACAGTGCAGCTCTGAAAGACTCTACGCTGCAGGGTATCAAAGCAGATACTGAGACTCATAGCCAGACTTTGGGAACAGTGCAGGGAATCTTATGAAATAAGGGGGAGTTCATAAGACCTGGAGAGGACAGGAGCTCCACAAGGATAGCAACAAAACCTAAATATCTGGGCATAGGGATCTTTTCTGAGACTGATACTCCAACCAAGGTCCATTCATGGATATAACCTCGAACCCCTGCTCAGATGTAGCCCATGGCAGCTCAGTATCCAAGTGGGTTCCTTAGTTAAGGGAACAGGGGACTGTCTCTGACAGGAACTCAGTGGCTGGCTCTTTGATCACTTTCCCCTGAGGGAAGAGCAGCCTTGCCAGGCCACAGAGGAGGACAATGCAGCCAGTCCTGATGAGACCTGATGAGCTAGGGTTAGATGGAAGGGGAGGAGGACCTTCCCTATCAGTGGACTTGGAGACACATGGGAGGAGATAAAGGAGAGAGGGTAGGATTGGGAGGGGAAAAGGGAGGGGGCTAAAGCTGGGATACAAAGTAAATAAAATGTAATTTTAAAAAAAAAAAAAAACGGAAAAAAAGAAAACAGCCAGTGCAGCTAGGTATGTTGGTGCACACCTTTAATCCCAGCACTCAGGAGGCAGAGGCAGGCGGATCTCTAAGTTTGAGGCCAGCCTGATCTACATAGTGAATACCAGGCCAGCCAGGACTACACAGAAAAACCTTGTCTTGAACCACCCCTCCCCCCAAATCACTGCACTCTCACACATGGGCACTTGCAAGCTCATTTCTATACCCAGCAGGACTACTCTAAATCAGCAAAGCCCTCTTCTTCCTAAATATTATACACAGAATGCTGTAATAAGTTACATCCAGAGTATCTACTTTCTTTATGTCAGTCAGTTTCTACTGAGAATAAAGACCCAGCTTTACAGTCTACCATGCAATGTTAATGGCAAGTAGACGCCCAGCATCCTTAATGATTTGTGTCAGAATTAAAACATTTACGACTCAGTCATTTTTCAAGCATGCTTCTCATGCCTCTAGGCTTCAGTTATGAAAAACCACATTACCTACTTGCTCTCAGCTTTTATTTCTGCCACCAAGAACCCCTCTCAGCACAATTTCCTACTCTGGAATCCAAGTTCCAGGACAAAGCTTTCTGCAGAAGTCACGCTTTCATTGTGCACTGGAATCTGGTCTTCACTATGCAGACATTATTCCACAAAGGCCCAGGAGGCTACCTTTCCCTGCTTTTTTCACTGCCATCATCCTCTTATAAAAACCTTGTGCTTGTTTGGAAGTATGCTAGTCTCATATGTTCTACTTTCTACAGTTTACTGCTATCTATAAATCCCTACCTCATTCACTGAAGAACTGAGACCTGATTTAGTCTTTGTCTTAATCTCTATTTCTGCAAACTTCCTACAAAACATAAAATATATCCAGAGTTAAGAGTACATCCTCAACATTCACATCACCTTAACCCCTGGACTGAACTCATTCCATATTGCAAGTACTCACAGGTAGGATTTTGTAATAACCAGAAATTATAAAAGCTAAAAAGTATGGCATCTTAATCTGTGACCACAACTTCCTATCTTCCAATTTCATCAGCTCATCTTCTATGCCAGTCACTCCACTTTCCTTCTAACTGGTTCACTTTAGCTTAGCATTTCTTTCTAAACCTCACACATGGGAAAAAACTATTCTTTCAGCCACATCCCTCATTTTCTGTCACCTCAAAATATCCCAGGCAACCACCCCACAAAATACCATCCCCATATCAGTACCGCAATGTTTCTTCCCTCCTGTACTTCTAAACATTTCTAGAATAAAAGCAAAAATACCCACAGATTGTAGAGTTCCAGTCTCCATTAAATACTCAGAATCACCTTTTCAATCTTTTTCATTGGAATAAGGTCCTCAAGATCAATGTTCTCAGTAACTACCTAAAGCTTCAATATTTGCCCCAAATTCGCAATCTCTGCTAGGCTGATTCTGAGCTATTGCTATATACAATTCATTATACCCTGATATGTAAGGTTTTTTTTCATAAATGATCTACCTTGATTTTCTATTCTTTTTCCTACTATATTGTATCTGTATGTGCCCATATTTACTTTCTTTCTCTGAATGTGCCCTTTTTTAGTCCCTCCCTTCAAGCTTTAGGAGATAAGCCCAAATATATTCCCGTGTGTGTGGTAACATCTAATTCCTTTAGTCAATCCTCTGCCAGTGTTTTTAAAACTTTTTTTATTAATTACAGTTTATTCACTTTGTATCCCAACTGTAGGCCCCTCTCTTATACACTCCTAATTTCACCCTCCCTGCCTTTTCCCCACCCATGCCCCTCCCCCAGTCCACTGATATGAGAGGTCCTCCTCCCCTTCCATCTGCACCTAGACTATCAGGTCTCATCAGGAGTGGCTGCAATGTCTTCCTCAGTGGCTGGTAAGGCTGCACCTCCCTCAGAGAGAGGTGATCAAAGAGCAGGCCACTGAGTTCATGTCAGAGACAGTCCCTGTTCCCATTATTAGGGAACCCACTTGGACACTGAGCTGCCATGGGCTACATCTGAGTAGGGATTCTAGGTTATATCCATGAATGGACCTTGGTTGGAGTATCAGTCTCAGAAAAGATCCCTGTGCCAAATTATTTTCTCTCTCTCCTTGTGGAGCTCCTGTCATCTCCAGGTCTTTCTATCTCCCCCTTCTTTCATAAGATTCCCTGCACTCTGCCCAAAGTCTGGCTATGAGTCTCAGCCTCTGCTTTGATACCCTGCAGCGTAGAGTCTTTCAGAGTCCCTCTATGGTAGGCTCCTGTCCTATTCCGTTTTCTTCCTCTTCCAATATCCATCCCATTTGCCTTTCTGAATGAGGACTGATCATCTTATCCAGGGTTCTCCTCCTTGGTTAACTTCTTTAGGTGTACAGATTTTAGTAGGATTATCCTATATTATATGTGATATACCCTGTATGTGTTTCTGCTTCTGGGATACCTCATTCAGGATGAGCTTTTCTAATTCCCACCATTTACATGCAAATTTCATGATTTCCTAGTTTTTATTTGTTGAGTAGTATTCCACTGTGTAAATGTACCACAATTTCTGTATCTATTCCTCAAGTGAGGGACATCTGGGTTGTTTCCAGGTTCTGGCTATTACAAATAAAGCTGCTATGAACATGGTTGAGCAAATGTCCTTGTTGTATACTTGAGTATCTTTTTAATATATGCCTAGGAGTGATATAGCAGGATCTTGAGGTAGCACCATTTCTAATCGTCTGAGAAAGCAGAAATTTTGATTTCCAAGATGGTTGTACAAATTTACATTCCCACCAGCAATGGAGGAGGGTTCCCCTTTCTCCACATTCTCTCCAGCATGTATTGTCACTTGAGTTTTTTATCTTAGCCATTCTGGTGAGCGTAAGGTAAAATTTCAGGGGCATTTTGATTTGCATCTCCCTGATGACTAAGGACATTGAGCATTTCTTTAAGTGTTTCTCTGCCATTTGATATTCCTCTATTGAGAATTCTGTTTAGCTCTGTACCCCATTTTTTAATTGGATTACTTGATTTATTGTTTTTTAACTTCTTTAGTTCTTTATATATTCTAGATATTAGTTCTCTGTCAGATATTGGGTTAATGAGGATCCTTTCC